CTAAAAAATTGTGAAAGCTGAATTTTTTCTGACACATGAAATCAGAGAGAGGCACACCAAGAAGGGCAGTACATGCTGTGAAACCCTGGAAGCTGCCCTGCATTGGAGGTAGGGACTGCACAACAATTTATGCCCTCTGTTCTATTCTTTATTCTGAAATACTGCACTACCATCAGAGGTGAGAAATCAAAAACAATACAACAATTCTTGATTTCATAACAAGCAAGATCAGAAGAAACTCTTTACAACAAGGGTAAACAATGCATACAGTTTCAGACTCAGTCTTTTAAGTATGTTTCAGCAATTTGCCTGCAAGTGTTTTGAATGGTCTGTGTGCAGGTAGCAGAGGTAGCTTTGTATGAACCAACTTTGTCCTACTGTATGTGCAGGTTAGAGCAGTAGTAGCTGTGGAAAGAACAAAAGAGCATATGATGCATCTTCTCCACTGAAGTCACTTGGCAATTCCACCAAATCAAGGATAAGCAGACATAAAAGAAACCTCTTCGCCATACCTCCTCTACCCTCCCACCCTCAACCCACCTGCCAAGAAATGCTGATCTCCTCTGATCTTCTTTACAGTGCTCTTTAACTTCTTCCACCATTGTGCATGTGTCAGCCAGCCTCAGGCTCTTCACCGAAAGATCCTGCAGAGCATTAAAATGTTTTCTTCTGATTGTCATCCTATACTCTGATGTCTTCTCTCTGCTCAGACTCCAGACTTGCTGTGTTCGGAAATCCATGGTAACAGCAGATGATATGTCATTCAGTCCTCTCACGTTATATAGCAAGTAATACAAGAGAGTTTTTATCTTTCCTATGGAAGCAGTGCAGACCTTAACCACTATTTCTTTTGTTGTTATGACTATTCATTATGAAGTAGAAAGGATGTTCCACAGGTGTGGCATATTTGTGGTTTATGATGATCCAACACTCGGGCAGATCATTCTTCCTGGTGGAGAATAATGAATATTGATCTCTGCTGTCCTGCCTTGAAGCCTTGAGCAGACTGTAACAGTGTACTCAGCTAGCTGTTCCCAGAAACTAGCCGTTGTTTGTTTTGTTCTCTAGTCAAAACCATAACTATGACAATAAAGAACATCAGTTTTAATGTGAACACTTAATGTATGTCACAGCTGGGCAATGTTAGGGCTGTTTGTAATACACTGATTTGTTTTCTTGTTTAAATAAGTAAACTTAACACAAATGTTTTCCCTCAAAAAGTAAATAACACCAAGAAAGTCTGGAGTTGCCAGGTTGCCCACCCATGCACCAAAACATCCCCAAGCCTGTTCCACGGAGCCCATATTACACCATGTCATCAGCACATAGATAGGCAAATACTTCAGCTAGGTGAAGATGTGACCTAAGCACTGGTCAGGACAACATGGGTATTTCTCTGCATACTCCAAAGCTGCTAGAGTGGATGTCCACTACAGACCTTTTTTGTGGAAATAACAAATTCTTTATAGTTGCATAACTGTTATGGCCCTCCAAGATTGTTCTCCACTAAAAAGAAAACCAAAATCTTCTGCTCTCCCTCATTTCCTTTGCTTATTCACCCCTCACTAGAGCTTTGATGCTTTTCTTTAAGTTAACATGTTTATAAATAGTGATATCATTAACATCTGTTATTTATTTTTCATTCAGTCATTAATTTTCGTTAAACATTCACAGCTAAATATGTGTCTGGCTGACTTTAGTGAGGTGGTTACGCATTAAAATTTCAAACTGAAACCTGACTCTTGCAGTGGGGAAAAATTTTTGAAAAGATGTTGCAAAAAAAGCTCATGATCTGATCTGAGAGGGGAGAAGTTGGAGGACACCAGTCCTAGACTCAAATTAGAAATGTTAAGATTGCTATGTAGCAACCTATACATTGGGCCAAATGAACAGGACAAGGGCTGTGTCTTGTCTGCAAAACAATATTCATACTCCTTTTTCCCCACTGAGTTCTTTTCCCAAAATATCCAAACCAGCATGCGTCATACACCTCAATCCACGCCTTCTTCTGTTAACTTGGAGTTTCCTACAGCTTCCCTTCAAACTTTTCTCTCTCTAATACCAGTTTCATCTTTCCAGAGACAACTGTGACCTGCTTTGACCCATGGATGGAGTTAATGCAGCACCAAATGTAAAGCCAGACTACAAATAGCTATTGGTTGGCTTCTTGTGTCTGATGTCCAGGTGGGAAGTACCTGAAAGACTTTCTGTGCCACAGACAATATTTCTAGATTAGAGAGCTTTTTTATTAAAGAGAATAATCAAGGGAGTACAAACATCTCTCTAAAGGCCACTCACCTCAGGTTATTTTGGCAATCTTTTTAGGTGCTGAACCTGAAGAAAAGGAACCCAGAATTCACAAGGCAATTTATTGCTGAAATCTGCAGAAAGAGCTGATACATAAGAGAGGTAAACTGCAGGGAGAACACCATTTCCCCTCCATGCACCACACCATTAAAGACACATGTATCTTTTTGAATTCTGCTATAAACACTCTGATAGTGTTTTTGCTATTTATTCTGTCCGCCTGCTCTGTGCACCTTTCTCTCTCCATGAGACCCTTGCACATGGCCCCAGTTGTTTCCCCATCATTATCCTGTAACGTAGTATGAAAGTGTGATTGATCTTGATGTTGAAAACACAGACAGACTGCCTAGAAAAGAAACTTTAAAACAACTTAAAAGGATTTATCCTTTTAAGAGATCATGTCTGTGATCTGTCTCCCAAGGATGTGTGTACTGACCTTGCCAGTCATCAGAGGCCTCCTCAGTGCACTCGCACACTACACGCTCCATTTGGAGGGAGGGGTGGAGGGATGCTTTCCATGTTCTGTAAGAATCATCTGTCTTGGGATTTCTGTGAATTTTAGAGATGAGAGGATATAGCACAGAAAAATAAAGTGTGAGAGTTGCTGTCTAGTTGAGAGCACAATTAACCTTCATACTTACACTCTGAAATAAAACTAGTTCCACCCACAGAAAAAATGCAGTCATGAGCAGATCTGGGACCACATGTTCAGTGTGCACCTGAGCTGAAGATTCTCCTGGCAAAGTCCAATTTCTGTACTGGTTGTTGTTGAATCAGCTGATATCATAGGCCCAGTGTGAATATCAGAGGAGTTGAGGTCAACTCTATGCATCTGCCCAAATTCATCCATTTCTATTCAGCTCAATACTTCTCAGAACAAGTCATCCTCTGCTGTCACTCCTTACTGAGCCATCATGCAGCCAAGCATAAAACTTCAGCACTTGCATTCCAGTTGCCACAGAGCTCTGGCTTCAGCAAGGAGAAGCAAAGGGTCCTACAGGATTTTGGTTTTCATTGTTATGGTTTATTTTAAACGAAACAAACTCAGAAATACACCATGCTTAGCAGTGGAAGAAGTCTCACATACCCTTTTAAAATAATGGCAGAAAATACGATCAAAGTCCTGTTTCATAATATTTACAAAGTAGTTGATCTAGACAGTAAAGGCATAACTCCTCTATATCAAGACAGAGAGTTTCTCGTACAGTTCTTTAGTGAACAAATATTCACAGAGTCCTGAAGTTACAGGCAACTCCTGACTCATTATCTGCCATATCCATGGGGTAAGCAAAGGCTGTAATGACTCTTTTTCTAATAGTGCCTCATGTTATGTTTGATCATGAATCGAGCCTGTGGTTCACAGATTAGAAGGGTGCCCTCATGGTAAATCAGGTAACATCTGCTTTACCCCCCTTCACCAGAATATAAGCTCAGTGTTTTGCGTATGGAAACATACTGTTGCTTCATGCTCATTTTGTTTAAATCAGTCTATTAATTTTTGTACAATGCAGTCATTCTCAAGACAAGCATGACCTCAGTCTTTCATTATTTAATGACTTTCCCTTTGTGGGACAATGTACAGCTCTTCCATGTTGCTCATCGCTTCTGGAAAACGACCAACTTCATGAGTTTCTTGACTGGATGAGGACGGGAAAAAGGATTATCGAGCCTTCTTCATTGCTTTTTAGGGACTGAAGACTGTAGTCTTGCTTTCTTCAGGTTGGAGAAACTCCAAATCATTTCTGCCGGCACAAATAATGACGCCTGAATGGCACGCTCTTGCAAATGTAAACAGTGGCACAGCAAATTGTTTAACCTTCGCCTGAAGTGTAATTTCTTTGACAGCGAGGTGCTACCCTCTCCAAAGCACCTACAGAGCATTAAGAAGGTGCCATTTTTTTCAAGTGAAACAGGGCAGATTGAAGTGACAGTAATAATTTCATATTTTCCCATTGCTACTTATCACCAGCAAAATGTTCCTATATATCTGTAATGGGACATGTTTCTCTTGGGATCAGAAAGCTTTAGTGTATGTTTCCAGTGAAACAATTAAAAACAGACCAAAAGCATAATTTTGACCTCAGCATTTAAAGTTTTATTCCCTGTCAGACTCAGAGGCCGAGTGAAGTTGCAGGGCGAGACCGACTGTAAGACTGGCAGATGAACCCTGCTTGTTCCAGCAGGTTGGGGCAGACAAAGAGGTCCAGGTTCAGCGCAGGCAGGCTGCTGCCTACAGCAGAAGAAAGGGCCTGGCCCTGCTGCCTGCTTTGCCTGCACATGAGACCCAGGCAGCCTGAGCGGTTGCGGTGGGCAGGGAATGCCCTGGCATTCGTGGGTAGGGTTGGGACTGGTCAGGCTTGGCAGCAGCAGCAGGCACTTCTCCCACATCTCCCCCTTGACCATTTCTCCACCCAAGCACCGCTCCCTCCCTTCCCTCTGGTGGGAGCAGTCTGCCCTGGCCCAGCCTTGATGCTTTGTTCAGTTTTGCCCGAATCCAAGGCAATTTCTTCAAAAGAGTGGGAGCTGAGGAGGACAGAGGGACCTCCCTGTGGTGCCAGTCATGGTGGCACCCATTGCAGATGGCCTCGCACGGACAGGTTGCCCAGTCAAGGTGCTCGAGTTAGATTTTCACACCCGAGTGAATTTGAGTGCCCATTGTTCTCTGCGCCCAGAGAACGGTTGTCCTTACGGTAATGGCTAACCGTACACGGCTGGCAGAGGCAGCCATCCCAAGAGTCAGAACGAGCAGCTGGGCCGCGCAAGGGAACAGTGACCACGTCAAGGCGTCGTCGTCAAGCGGGACCAGAGGGCCGCAACACGCACCACGAGTCCACCGTGCCCCTGCCAGCCCCACGTGAAGGCAAACCCGGTGCCCCACATGCCAGCGGTTTGGGGGCTGCCCTCTGCCCTGGGGAGGACACGGGCCCTGCCTGCTCCGCTCTTCCCCGGGCGCTCGACCCTCTCCCATCAGCTTTCCCGTGGGGAAAACAGGCCCGGGGGCGACCGCCGGGAGTTGGGGCAGCGGACGGGCAGCAGGGGCTGTCCCCGGGGGGCCCCGCTCATGGC